AAATAGAATAGATAGCCTAAAAAACATTGAGAGGATGAAAAAAGAGAAGAACGTAATTGATAGTAAGGGGAAAACATTTTCAACCTAATTGGAAAAATAAAGTAAATAAAACATTAGTTGCAGTAGAAACAACTTCTTCTTGCTTCTATTGTAAAGAGAAACATTTCATTTATAACTGTACAAGTTTTTTAAAGTTAAACACTTATAGTAGATATAAGCAAGCACAAAAATTGGGCTTATGTTTAAACTGTTTGCAAAAAACCAATCATGTAAGTAAAAATTGTCAATCTGGAAGCTGCAGGAAATGTGGGCGGAAACATAACACACTTCTGCATTACGCTGGTGGAGGGGCAGATAATGATGTCACTGGAGTAGGTTATCAGGAAGATATTGGTCAGCTTTCTGCGATACAGGTCTGCGAAGAAGGTGCCACTGCCTCTGTTAACAATGGTATTCAATCATTAGCTGGACCATCAAATGGAATGTCATTCAGTGTGAATTCTGTCTGGTTAGAAAATGAACTGCAGCTCCTGGAGAGGTATTGTTATCAACTGCATTAGTACAAATAATTGATGGAAATGGGAAAGCTCGTACATGCAGAGCACTTTTAGATTCTGGGTCTCAACCCAATTTAATAAGCGAAGAAGTAGTAAAGCGGTTAAACTTACCGAGGAAGTCAGTAGAACTTACTTTAGCAGGAGTTGGAAGCAAGGTCGCACAAGTCAGATATAGATGCAATGGTACAGTTGAATCAATTGGAGTGGGCTTTAGGAAAACTGTATCCTTTTTAATAGTTCCACAAATTACTGGAGTACTTCCTAGTCAGAATATACCTACAACAAGGTTAAATATTCCGAAACATCTTCAATTGGCAGATCCAGGATTTCATAAACCTGGAAAGATTGATCTTCTCTTAGGAGTAGATATATTTTATGAATTATTGTGTGTTGGACAAATTCAGTTGGGTCCAAATCTTCCATTGCTTCAAAAGACAAAGTTGGGCTGGTTGGTCAATGGAAAAATGAGTTTTATTGGGAACACATCTAATATTACTAATTGTAATCTTAGTGTATTAGACATCAGTCAACAATTGGAAAAGTTTTGGCAAATAGAAGAGGTACCAGATGGACAAGAGGTACTTTCAAAGGAAGATATAGAATGTGAGCAAATCTTTCAACAAACAACAAAGAGGGCTCCTGATGGAAAATTTGTAGTTCATATTCCACTGAAGAAATCAGTAACAGCACTGGGTAAATCTAGGCAATCAGCATTAAATAGATTTTACAAATTGGAACAAAAACTGCAAAAGAATGAAAAGTTACAAGAATTGTATATCAAGTTTATGCAAGACTATATTGACATGGGTCATATGTCATTATCAGATGGTTCGTTGGATACTATTTCATATTACTTTCCACATCATGGGGTGATTAATGAAAATAGTGAGACTACACGTCTAAGAGTGGTATTTAATGGTTCAGCCACTACAGATACAGGTGTATCTTTCAATGATTTGCAATATAATGGACCAAAAGTACAAGAAGATTTGGTTTCTATATTGTTACGATTTAGACAGCATTATGTGGTAGTTGGTGGAGATGTCGCAAAGATGTATAGGATGATTTGGGTTGTTCCTGAGCAACGGTCCTTACAAAAAATAATTTGGAGAGCATCACCTGATGCAGACTTAAAGGAGTATACACTCAACACAGTCACATATGGAACAAGGTCAGCACCTTACTTGGCAATAAGATGTTTAAAAGAGTTAGGACTTCAGTGTGCAGAGAACAGACCTGAAGCTTCTCAAACAATCTTAAAAGATTTTTACGTAGATGACCTACTTACTGGTGCTGAATCAGCAGAGGAAGCAATAAGCTTGTGCAAGGAAGTGGATCAAGTTTTAAAAGATGGAGGTATGGAGCTGAGAAAAATGGGTAACAAACAGTAAAGAGGTGCAGCTCGCATTGGAAAAATCAGAAGATGGTTCTGGTTCTGTTCAGATTGGAGAAAAGGACAAAAACAAGACACTGGGGTTGATGTGGGCTTTTAAAGAAGACACATTGATGTTTGCGATAGATTTTTCAGCTAAAGAAAATAGGCATACTAAACGATCCATATTATCAGAAGTTTCAAGGATTTTTGATCCCTTAGGGTTGCTGGGACCCACAGTACTTTTGGCGAAACAGTTGTTACAAAAAATGTGGCAGCAAAAACTTCACTGGGATGAGTCACTGCCTCACGATTTGGAAACAGAATGGAGAAAATTGAGGGCAGAGTTCTTAAATTTAAATAGTCTGCGAATTAAAAGACATGTGGTTTGCAGGAATGCTATAACGGTGGACATTCATGGGTTTGCCGACGCTTCAAAATTGGCATATGGAGCTTGTGTTTACCTAGAGTGTAGACCATGATGGATTGGTGACAATAAATTTGTTGTGTTCTAAAGTGAGAGTAGCTCCATTGAAGGCACAAACAATTCCAAGACTTGAACTCTGTGCTGTATTGGTATTGGTTAAATTGGTGGCAGTAGTTCAAGCGTCGCTTACAGTAAAAATTAATAATATTTTTTATTGGACAGATTCTACAGTGGTATTGGGATGGCTTAAAACTGATGTTTGTAAATTACAAGTTTTTGTCGCAAACAGGGTTAGTCAAATTAAGGCCATTGCTAAATGTGGTGAATTTAGACATGTAAGATCAGAGCACAATCCAGCAGATCTTCTATCTAGGGGCGTGTGTTACCGTCGAAGATTATTGGTTTACAACATTGGTGGATTGGGCCTGAATGGTTGAAATTGGAAGAGTCAGAGTGGCCAAATTTGGGTCATGAGGCACAATTGGAATTACCAGACTTGAGGTATGCAGTCGTTTCGCACATAGCTACTGAAGAAAACTCAAAACTATTTCATTTTGAAAAATTCAGTTGTTTAAATAGGTTAAGGAGAGCTGTGGCATATAGTTTTAGATATGTCAAAAAGATCAGATCAAGAGAATTTGATGTAACCAGTGCACTATCTCCTTTGGAATTGGAGCAAGCTATGGATGCGTTGGTATTGGTATCACAAAAAGAAGTTTTTGGAGCGGATATGATGGCACTGGAAAATGGAAAACCCTGGAAGAAACATCTTCTTAATTTAAATCCTTTCATGGATAAAGCAGGATGTCTCAGGGTGGGGGGTAGATTAAATTTGGCAAATCTACCTTATTCACAAAAGCACCCTCGGTTATTAAGTGCTAAACACAGGTTTACCATATTGTTATTTGAAATGGAACATAATAGGTTGCTGCATTGTGGCCCGCAGCAATTATTAAGTGCTATCAGAGAGAATTTTTGGGTATTGGGAGGACGAAACTTAGCACGAAAAGTGTATCGCAGTTGTGTGAGATGTTTCCGATGCAAACCTATTCCTTTGGAGCAAATTATGGGACTTTTACCGAAAGACAGAGTAGAAGTAAATCCTCCATTTTATGTAACGGGAACGGATTATGCAGGTCCTTTTCCAATGAAGACAAAACGTGGTCGTGGTTCACAAATAATTAAATGTTATATTTGTCTTTTTGTGTGTTTTTCAACTAAAGCACTTCATTTAGAGGTAGTATCAGACTTAACCAGCGCAAGCCTGGATAGCATGTTTTCGTAGATTTGTCGCACGACGGGGCAAACCACTGAAAATTTATTCAGATAATGGGTCAAATTATATTGGGGCTAATACTGAATTAAAAGAATTACAAAATTTTTTGGAACAGGAATCACAAACAATTAGTAATACGTTAGGTAATGAGGGAATTCAATGGCAATTTATCCCGGCACGTGCTCCAAATTTTGGGGGTTTATGGGAAGCTGCCGTGAAATCATGTAAACATCATTTACGGAGAATTTTGGTTAACTCTCCTCTTACATACGAGGAATTTAGTACTCTTCTTGCACAGGTTGAAGCGGTTCTAAACTCCCGTCCTTTGGTCCCTCTTTCCTCTAGTCCTGAGACCTTGATGTATTAACACCTTCCCATTTCCTTATTGGACGCAAACTCACTGCAGCTCCTGATCCAAGTCTTAAGGAGATACCAGTGAATCATCTGTCTCGTTGGCAACATGTACAGATGCTACATCAACATTTTTGGAGTAGATGGTCAAGTGAGTACCTTGCTGAATTGCAACAAAGGCACAAATGGATGAAGAATTCCAGTAATCTTCAAACTGGACAGTTGGTTATCATCAAGGAAGACAATCTGCCTCCATCCCAGTGGCGACTAGGAAGAGTGAAGGAACTGTTCTGTGGTCCAGATGGGAATGTGCGAGTGGTATTGGTAAAAACTCAACTGGGAGAATACAAACGTTCTATTTCAAAACTGTGTCCCCTCCCAGGACAATCATAGTGATTAAGTGTTTATTCTTTACATATATAAACATTGATTATGTTACAATTCTATATTTTTTTTTTTTTCTCATGGTTAAGCTTTATGTTGAAATTGTTATTTCAATGTGGGGGGAATGTTTGGGACTTTTAAAATTTGTATAATAAAAAGAGATTTTTTGGTCAGTCTTGCAACGTTGTATAGTTGCAAGCAGGTAAGACAAATGGACTCGTCCGAGTTGCAATGTACAAGGGGGAGTCGGAAGTAGAAAGAGATAATGATAATAATATGGCGGATGTAATGTAACGTAATGTAGACGTATTTTGTTGTTGGTAAATAAAAAGTTGGGAAATCATTTGGGATTTCATTTTATTGGCAAAGAAAACTAGTATATAGGGAAAGTTGGTCCTTTATATAATGTTCAGTTGGTGAGGTTTTAATGACTTACATTATGTAAGTTACTATACATATGAGATCTGTAAGATATACATATGAGTTATATACATTTGAGATCTTCTTTAAAATAAAAATTTAAGCTTTTAGTAAGCATTTTTTTATACCTATAATACACACGACCACCACGTGCTTTTTTCTCAATACCTCTTAATCTATCGAGTATAAAATTATATAATTTCAGTAACTTACTTATAAACATATGTTAGAGTTGTCCAAAGAGTGGGATATCGTCCATTAGTATCAGTTTGCATCCTTCTTCGAACTATGTCCAAAGGATAAGTGAAGCTTTGTCCCAACATCCCTGCTACGGCACCGAAACGCCAATGACGCGATAGGTGGAGGAGTTGGCACGTCTTTTATGTGTTCTGAAATTTCAAGACTGGTATTGACATTACACCGTCTTAGCGAAACATGAAAATTTTATTTTAAAATAAACGAACCTCACCGTCTTGCACTTTATGTTGGCTCAAATGAAACAGAAGAGGCACGAATCCTTTAACACGAGATCAAAGATGACCGGCGACCAAGCTTTAACGAATTTATGTCAAATTACGTAGAGAGAAAGAGTGCTAGATTCGGCGTGACCATAGAAGTTCAGCAGGATTTTTTTAGTGTTTCGCATAACGTCTTTCTAGCTCACTGTGTTGTCCAAGATCTTGAGATGACTAAAGGAATGTCGTCCGTATTTTTTAAGAAGTTCGGTCGTTTGGATGAGTTAAAAAATCAGTAGCCTAAAGTTGGAAGAATACTGAAATTACAAGGTGGTCCTCGATCTTTGCTGTATTATGGTGACTAGGAAGTCGTATACAGACAGGGCAACCTATGATATAAAATTGGTGCAAATCACGGGGCAAACCAAGGATGCAAGACGGAAAGAGTTGATCTGATGCGTTTTCTGACGAATTTAGAATGGATTTTTATAAAAAAAGTGTACACAAACTGTTTATTTATTTTAATCACGTGAATGTAATTTTACATTAGCTTAATTTTTATCATTTCAAATTGATACATTAACTATATCGCTTAAAGTATACGCTAAAGGAAGGTTTTGTTTCCTAACCATAAATTTCATACCCGATGAATTATAAAGAGAAAAAGAAACTTATTTTTTTATTTTAGGTACGGTTTATAAATTGTGATCTACCCCAATTTGGTGTGATGTATGTGAATAAGAAAACATTCGGAACGCACTCAGTTTGGTAACATGTAAGAGTGACGTGACGTACAGGTGCAAGGAAGAGGAAATAAAAGCATTCTGAATCTAGACACGATAGATGAAAGGTGTTTCATTTTGTAACCTAATTTCCACTCTCCATAACCTATCCTATAAACCCGACCACGTGTCATCACATTTGGTGGATAGTATTTGTAATTATATACATTTTGATCTTAAGTCAAAAACAATGATCACGTGAGGTCACACGTCACGTGGTTGCGTATCGTGGCATATTAATATTAAGTAGAATGTTACTAACCTCTATACAGCCTTTTTAAAGTGTCATAGGTAAAGAATGAGACTCCAGCATATGGTATTACTCCTAAAATTGTAGGTATATATCCTCGATAAAAATTTTTCAGTCCTTCAATATAATATATTTTAAAGAATACCTAAAACAAAGAAGAATTAAAGGATATGTAAATTTTTGTACAAAGTAATAAGATTTCAAGTTATCGAATAAGGAGTAAATAAAAAAACAAATCTGAAAATTATGATGGTACGAAGAGAACCATGGTGGATGTGAGGATAAGTGAAACAAATACTATATAATAGAGACAACATTACAAATAATCAAAATACGCAGTTAGAACTAGAAACCAACGTAGTGTGATCATGGTGTCTGCATGAACACGGCTGGAATTGAAATGGAGTGAGCTTGTAAATATATCATCATCATCATCATCCAGCCGAATTTTCACATCCATTGTTGGCTATAGGCCTCCTCCAAACGTCTCCAGTTCTCTCTATCTCTAGCTGCTGCAATCCAGTTTGTTTCTATTCTCGTTAGGTCGTCGGTCCATCGGGTGGGTGGTCTGCCTCGACTTCGCTTGTCGGCTCTTGGTCTCCACTCCAATAATCTCTTCGTCCATCTTCCGTCTTCTATTCTAGCAACATGTCCAGCCCACCTCCACATTTTGTTCATTGATTCGCAGTTATAATATCGTCTACGCCAGTTCGTCGGCGTATCTCCTCATTTTTTACGCGATCTTTCAAAGGTCAGGCCCAGCATTGATCTCTCCATTCGCCTTTGTGTTACCCTCAGTTTTTCGGGCAGTAGCTTTCGTTAAAGTTAAGGTCTCTGCTCCGTAGGTCAAGACTGGTAAGATGCATTGGTTAAATGCCTTCCTTTTCAGGTGAATTGGGATATTTGTTTTAAAAATGTCTCTCATCCCGTCCATATGCCGCCCATCCCAACATGATTCGTCTATTTAGCTCGCAGGTTTGGTTGTCTCTGGTTATTCTAATTTCATGACCCAAGTATGTGTATTTATCGATTAATTCTACCTTGTTGTTATTGATCTGTATCTCTTCGCTGGGAACCATATTGGTCATCATTTTGGTTTTCTCGAAATTTATCTCCAGCCCAGTTTCTTGTAGTATGTCATTCAGTTCTTGGAGCATGTGTTTGATCTCTCCCAGATTATCTGACAGAAGCACGATATCGTCCGCAAAACGTAAAAAGCATCGTGGTAGCGGGACCGGACGACGGCTCTAGACTGAGATTCCAGATGGGAGACAAGTCGTATCCTTTCTCTCGATTGGTATCCTTCGTAGGATACCAATCCCTATCCCTCCTCGTAGTATCCTTCCCTATTTTCCTGTGGTGTCTATTCTATTCCTTGTTCATGTGGACATGTGTATATTGGCGAAACTGGTCGTTCCGTCAAAACTCGGATTCAAGAGCATCAAAGATGCATTCGATCAGGTCTTTTCTCCCATTCTGCAGTTGCAGAACACTGCCAAGAAACCGGTCATTCCATATTGTTCGAAAAAACCCATATTATTTCTAAGAGCCCCTTCTTTTATTCCAGGAAAATCCGCGAATCTCTAGAGATCCGAAAAAATCCACATAATATCAATCGAGAGGAAGGATACTACTTGTCTCCCATCTGGAATCTCAGTCTAGAGCCGCCGTCCGGTCCCGCTACCACGATGCAGCCACATGATTGGCCAGCGCGCGCTTCTTGACGTTCGCGCCACGGAGTGTGCCGATACGTCCCGACACGACAGGTCACCGCGACTATAAATAGAGCGGTAGCGGGAGTAATCGTCGGATTCACTCCCCGCCTCTCGACGCGTTAGTGTTCTGAGCTGTTGGACGTGAATCCCTGTCCTGGCATTGGTTTTCACCTCTGGCTGCGTTAGGTAGTTGAGTTACTGTGACCAAATGCCCACCTGGGTAGTTAGTATTCGCCTCTGGTTGCGTTGAGTAACTGAGTTACCGTTGCTAACTACCCATCTTCCTGTCTTTTGATTTCTTTTTCTTTGTTCTCCTGAAGAAGCTACATACAATTGTAGCGAAACGTCGAGATGAACCCACTTTTGGGTCATTCACAAATGACACGGTCCAAACCCGGAAGACGAATAAACTATAAATCTCATAGAATGATTCCACAATTTTCTCTGTTTGATGTAATGTTGCCATTTCTATCCTTGAGTTTGACTATTTGTTTATTTCCATTTGTGAGTTTGCGTCTCATTATTTTCATACTCTTATTTTCCTCAATGGTTTTGATGATTTTCTCCTCTTTGTATTTTCTGATTTCTCTGGATACTTCCTTGTTCATCCTATTTATATCGTCGTTACTAGAGTTTTCGTCGCTTCTCAGTATTCTTCTGAAAAATAAGAAGAAGAATACTTGTAAATATATACTACTACTTAAAGTTTCGTAACAATCTGGTAAGGAATACTTGGACTGAAGAATACAAACACTTAATACGAACAAATGCTTTTAAGAACCGCTTAGCACCACTAGATGAGATCAATTTACCGGAGAATAAGGGCTTTTGGTCATGAATTATATCTCTCTAATATTGCCCTTAATCGGTCTACATAAGTCAGCAAGACTGTAGTGGTGCCAAGAATACGAAGAGTGTGATTCTGTTTGTAAGTCAGTGATGGCCGAAGACACGCAGAAAGGTGAGAACTTGACTTTTCTGTGGAACGTGAGTTAACGCTTACCAGAGTTAGAAAGAAACACGAACCTCAATGGTTAGATTCATAATATCTGACAACTCATTACAGTGCCCTATCTGAAAGATAGGGCACTGTATTGATTCTGTTTGTAAATCAGTGATGGCCGAAGACACGCAGAGAGGTGAGAACTTGACTTTTCTGTGGAACGTGAGTTAACGCTTACCAGAGTTAGAAAGAAACACGATTCATAATATCTTACAACTCATTACATTGCCCTATCTGAAAGAACTAATAAATCCTATTTTCTAGCAAGATAACGCAAGGCTTTACACATCAGGTGTCACCGTCACTGTTCTTCCATGGTACGCAAGAATATCAGACCTTTCTCCCAATGAACATATATGAGCAGATAGGCATAAGGTTGGACAGATTCCTCCACTGTTAGAGTTGTAGTACCTTGAGAATGAGATATCTTGAATGCAGGAGGATATCAATCACCCCATCGAAAGCATGCATCGCAGAGTAAAGAAGTTAAGAAGAGCTCCAACTCATTACTGAATTTTAAGGTTATGGACCACTCGAATTGCCAAGAAATCGATTGATACACTATATGTCATCATCATCACAGTATTACAACCCCTTCAAAGGCCTCGCCTTTCTCAAGCTATATTCGCCATTCTACTCTGTCATACACTATATGTAACAATTTTATTATCAAAAAAATATATTTGCGTTTACTGAATGTTGCATTCTTAATGTCTAAAGTATAAAAATAAATAAGCTAAAAAAACATATTACTCTTTAACCAACCTGTCTTAATGTCGAGTATTCCATCCTAGAAGTAACTGCCATCCTGGCTCTAGCAAGATCAAGTGGGTAGGTAATAGATTGTGATGTTGCTCCGGCAAGAGAACCTGCTAAAAATAGTCGAACAGGCGTGCTCCTAGAACGTAAAGATGAAATAAAACTACCAGTACATTGTACCTTCGATAGCTGACAATGTACAAACAATACAAAGGTCTAAGTTTCGAGAATCTACACAAAAAAGATTTTTCTATGCGAAAAACACGAAAAAATGGAGGAAAACAGTTAATATGAGGTGTGTTCAAAAAATACCCGGAATTTTTAAATTCGCGGGTTTGGTTCGTAAATTTTTTTATTCATTTGGTATAAATTCTCCTAAAGTTTAAAAAAATTGGCAGTTATATTCATTGTTTACCTTGTCTGTGGCAGCCGATAAAGTTCGACAGTTTTTATGAGCTTGGAGATTTTCATTTATTTAAGGATTTGAATTAAATTTTGCGTAATAAAAATGCGAAAAGTGTTTGACATGTTAACAAAGGCCTATGGTAAACATGTTATGAAAAAAAAAAAACAAGTGTTTACGAGTGGTTTAAGCATTGCCAAGATGGACGTGAAGACGTTGATAAACTCCCCGAACGTCCCAGCACATCAAGAACCGATGAAAAAGTAAAAAAAGTAACAGGAATGGTTATGAGCGACCGTCGAATCATAATTAGAAAAGTCGCTGATAAAGTTGCCATATCAATTGGCTTATGCTATGACAAAATAAAAACGGGGGTGAATGAAAGTTACTCAGGAGTCACTAAATGATGTAAACAACGAGCCAGATTTACTCAAAAGGGTTGTAACAGATGAAGAAACATGAGTTTATGGATATGACGTCGAAACTAAGGTTCAATTGTACCAGTGGAGGCATTCTGGTTGGCCAAAACCAAAAATGCTCGACACTTGCGGTTGAACGTGAAGGATATGCTCATACATACTCATGCTTTTTGCATCACGATAATTCACCAACTCACACTTTATGTAACAATAAAACACTGAAAACTTTGTTTTCAACTCACTCACACACACAGACACACACACTCACAACTGACACTTTGCTTGTTCATGAATTTTTGGCCAAAAACACTACTTTAATGATTTCCCAGCCTCCATATTCGCCAGACATTGGTCCGTGTGACTTTTTCCTATTTCCAAAAATAAAAAAAACTTTAAAGGACCGTCGTTTCACAAGCATAGATGACATTAAAAGCGCATCGCTAATAGAACTAAAGGCTATCCCAAAGATCGAGTTTGAGAAGTGTTTCAAGGATTGGCAAAAGCGTTGGCACAAGTACATACTGTCTAATGGGGACTACTTTGAAGAAGACAACATTAATGTAAACGAATAAATACATTTTTTTTAAACATAAAATTCTAGGTAGTTTTTGAACACACCTCGTAAATCAAATAGTGTTTAATAAAAGTTATCACATTTTTTCGACCAGCTACGTAATTGTTATATAACACGATGTCAAAAAAAAAGCATAATTGATATAGGACATGGAATAAACTTTCCTTGTTTTGGATGCTTAGTCACTCCCATTCAAAATAAATTAATCGGATAAACAAAAATTTTAGAATTGCATCTTTTGGTGCAAAAACATTAGTCTGTACTCTCCATGCATGTCATATAGAAAGCTGTAATATATTATTGTAAACGTGGTTTTGTAGTCAGCACTATCAACATCGTGTATTTTAATGCCACAGAGCGACCTAAATGCTTCTAAATTTACCTTTCCTGTAGTTTTACCCACAATTACCTCGTATGTAAAATAAATATTATGAGCAGCCATCCCTTCTGTACCGTTTTTTCTGAGTCTATGGGTATGATTGTGTTCTGTGAAACTATCACAAAATTTAAATATCGACTTGTTTGACTGTTTTCGTGAGGTTACAGTTGTATTTAGTATTATTTTATTTAGAATTTAGAAACTGTAATGTAAAAACCCATAGACCCAGAAAAAAGGCGTAGAAGCGATGGCTGCTCATAATGTTTATTTTACATATGAGGTAATTATGGGTGAAACCACAGAAAAGGTATGTTTACTTAAAAGTCGGATAACTCCGAAGCTCCTTGCATTTCTGAGGAAACAAGAGGAAAACGTGTTCCTGCTAAAGATAAGATATCTTTTGGAACAAGTTCCTTTATGCACTTTACCTATGGAACAGCTAAAGGTGTGATTGTTTGTAGGTCTTTTATTCATGGCTTTATAGAAAAAAACCTAAAAACTTTCACAAGCCAACAATCAGTCAATTGAATTTCCCACAATAATTTGTTATCAATACTGTAAAGTACCACTTAAAAAAGTAAAACTTCAAGATATTGGTAAGCTGTTACCTTATATACATGATAGTATTATGACGTTTTATGTTTTATGACGACTGACGAATTAATAAAGTGGGCAACAACTGATAATTCCAATGCTTGAGAAGATAAACACGTCAATCAGGAGGAGGAAACATTTCATTTTAAAACATTCAAAAAATGACTAAATGTCCAAAAGCATTCGTTTCAAGATCCATCGTTCAAACAAGAGCTGAAAGATTTCATTTTGTGATTCACCGAGTCACTTTCTTTATATTTCCTTGTACTATAAATTGGATCTTCTAGAAGTGCGACATAGCATGTGTGTCGCGGAGTTTTAAGAACAAAATGTAGTGTGAAATTTTACATCATGGCACTTAACGTGTTAATAAATCGGAAAACATGTTCCATTATCTCTTAATTAAAATTAATAATAAAAAATCTGTTTTATTTTCATAATCTTTCTTATCGTGCTAGATATATTGAAATAGTATTAAAAACAAACTTCGTTGAGTGTTATTCGTAATAGTATTTTGAAAAATCATCACTTTATAACCAAGTATAAATTACTGTCAAACTTATTAATAAAATAATCTGGTGAAAGTTAAATCCAAAATAATACTATCATTTAAATTATTGGTATAAAAATATCCACTTGTCATATATAAATAATATTTTGGTTTATTTTTAATGATAATAAAATATGCTGTCACAAGGAGATAATATATTATTACGTATATAAGGAAGTATTTCCAGTTCAAGGTTATATAGAAATAATACCCAAGTGACTTGTTATGATATTAGGTATACAATTGTATAGAATGGTATTAAAAATTCATTTTTCTACGACTATGCAAAGGGTGATTTTCGTCTTTTATATGGCCTCATTCAAGATATGAACTGGACAGAGCTTGAGGGGTGCTTGGATGTGGATGTATGTATGCAGTTGTTGTATGAAAAGCTGTATGCATGCATTGATCAGTCAGTACCCAAAAAACAGTCGAGGAATGTATTAAGAACAATAAACAGGTATCCTACTTTCTTTACTTTGGAACTTACATCGAAGATTAAACGTAAGAATCGTCTTTATAGGCAGGTAATTAAATCTGCAAATGCTTTGGTTTTGGCTGAATATAAATCACTGAGACGAGAGGTGAAACAGCTTAGTAGGAAAGCATATAGGTGTCACAATGAAAATATTGAGAATAATGTACAAACTGACCCTAGTAGTTTTTGGTCTTTTATAAAATCCCGTGGTGTAAATAATACAATTCCAATAGAGGTCTCTTATAGGGCTGTGGACATAAATGGCTGTCAGGATATTGCCAATGTTTTTGCAGAATACTTCGGCTCTGTATTTCAAAGATCAAATCTGTAAGTAGATGACACAAGCTGATAAGTCACATTTTTGGCCAAAATGAGTTATGTATATGGACATGTTCAAAAACAGGAGATCTACCAGATGTTAAAATATGATAAGTTGAATCTTTGTAAATAACATAATATAGCCCTGGTCCAAACGTGATATGTGATTTTTCTCCAATTCCAAAGATGTCAAAAGCAGTTAAGTAGGTACATAACAACATTTTGACATTGTTTTTAACTTAATCCAGTCATGGTAAGATGGCAAAATTAGATAAGTACTTTTACCAGTTTTTGTTTACTTTTGCAAGTTTAATTTGTAAGTCAACACAAGATGGCAGTAACTGTTATGTGCTCTTATCTAAAATTTCGGCTTTGTCTGATGAAATATTCCTAGTTTAAACAGATGGCAAAACTTGATAAGTTGATTTATCATATTTTGTCATCTTCAGTTAATGTTAGAAATTGCCATTTTATCAGCTGATTAATAAACATACCTTATTTTGTCATCTGTCACAGTAGTTATTTTTCTATTCAACTACTGTTTTAATGTTGATTGTATTTTTTCAAATGCAAGTTGTTAGTGACTAAATTGTGTAAATAGTAAAATCCTGACTATGAGTTATAAAAACAAGAGTAGTGTAAGTAGCAGGACAAAACTGTTAGTGTCTTTGGCAGTCAAGGGAGACGGAATTACTTCTCAATCAGAGAATTTTGAGGTTAGTATGATTTCTGTCTTGTTTGTACTTTTTATTTTCTTATACTAAAATAAAATGGGAAATTTCTCTATTTTGTATCATTTATGATTAAAAAACAGTAATTTCCTTGTAACAGAGCTAACAATCTATACATTAAATTAATTATTATGCACATGTTACAGGATAGGTCTGAGTCAAGTACTATTTTGACTGAAGTAAACAATCATCATAAGGAAGTTAAAGAAAAAGATTTCTATTTTGAATGTAAAAATAGGTATACATTTGAAGACAATCAGGTTCTTGACATAGAGAATCTTCCAATCACAATAGAAGACGGAGATATTGAAATTCCTATTTTAGAATCATTCCCCATTGAAACATCAGAAAATGTGGAAATATTTAGTATTATAAAAAATAATGAACATGGTATTGAAAACAGTTTCAGAGAGATTACCACACTCGATGTAAGTTACTAGAATTTAGGGTAACAACATAATTTTTAATAGCTACACTTTAACAGAAATGATTCAGCACTCTATATAAGTAAAGTCTGACGTCAGTTTATAAAACATCACTCTTATTAACCATGTTCAGTGGTTCTGAATTTTAAATTTAAAATCCAAAGTCCTATCTTTTACAGGCCACGTGGACTGGTTTGTATTAGACAGAGCAAATAAGTAATGGGTATTAAATTTCACTTTACTAAACGGAGACATTATTTTTCAGGAT